AAAAAAAAAAATGAAGCATATCCACGGAATGAACGATGATCGGTGGGGCGCAGCATTCGTCATTCCGTCCGTGCTTCCGTCCGTCCTTGCGTCCATCAGTTCGTTCATCTCTCTGTCTGACCATGCGTGCGTCTGTTCATGCGGCCGTTTTTCTGTCTGTCCATCTATCCGTCCGTCCACCCCTCTGTCTGTCTGTCCGTACATGCGTACATCAGTATGTCGACCCGTCCGTCCGTCTATCTAGTGAACACTCCAAGTACCGCTATCTCACATGTTTTCATCATGTATTGATCATATACAAGTACCGTCATTCAGCAGGCATTCTAAGGCCCGCTCTCTTGAGTATGTCCATCTATCCGTCCGTCCGTCCGTCCGTCTATCTAGTGAACACTCTAAGGACCACTTTCTCACATCTTTTCAACATGTATTCGTCATATACAACCTCCACTATCCACAGGACATTGTAAAGGCCAATCTCTCGGGTATGTGCCACCAATGGTTATATACCACAACGCAGTTAACGCACAAGCCACGCCATAAGGAGCTTCACCCCTAAAATAAAGAAAGAAGTACGTTGTTCGCGGTTGTAGTTAGATTTATCCTGGTACATAACAACAATTTTGGTCATACTGTCGCCGGCTACTATACACAAACAAATTTTATTCGATTAAAGAATGGAAGCTTGATTTGATATGCGAACAATCTGACAAGTGATTTTTTTCAGGTGCCTGAGGACAATCAGGCGAATGATTAAAAAAAAGAGTAAAGAAAACGCAGCCGCAAAGCATTTGTTTTTTCCGACTACAGCCTATCGTGATTCGAGCACAACCTCACACGATAATGTTGTTATCGTCTCTCGAAAACAGATTCACACGCTCGAAAAACGGTAGCGTACATAGCCGCAATACTGAAATCCCAATGCAAATTCGTTTTCGCTAAAGGCGCTACTTCTTCGTTTCTTGAAGGCTGACATTTACTGTTTATTTTTATCACCCGCTGCACGCTTCGCAAATTATGTACGTGCTTTCGCGCACGAGCCTACAACGCGCGGTGACGAAACAAAATCGGCGCAACAAAATTGAGGGCGAACCACTAATTCCGCAAGTGGACATTCGGCGTGCCTGCCATGCCAAAGTGATCAGTATTCATTCGACCCGACGGTTCCAGGGTTTGCACGAGTAGTTTTAAAACATTTATTTCATCTCTCCTTCCGCCATCGCTCTTGCAGTAGCTTGGGATGGGCATTAATTTTCGGCAATGCCACCACGTCAAGCAACGCGGTATAGGCGCCCATGGTATGAAATCGGAGGGTATGTGGGAGGCCGGAACATTTGCATTGTCCCACGTCACGTGGTCTGTGAACGACGCGGAGACAAACACGGGGCGTCTTCCGAGTAGGGACGGCGTCTTGCGGCCTAATAAAGAAATGCGTTTCATCTGTTGATGCCTCCGAATCAAAAGAATTGCAAAAACAAAAAAGAGGACGCCGCGCAATTGCGCAGGGGCCACATTTGCCAGGCTTGAAGATGCAGCAGCGTTGTTGTGGCGACTGCGGGCACCAAGCAAGGAGGAACGGGAGCGGACGTCTGCGTTGTCCCCACCGCGAGAGGCGCCATCGTTCTTAGTTTACGCCTACTTCGGAAAAAAAAAAAAGCGAGGCGCCGTCACGGTAGAACGCTTCTTGTTTAGGGGGGTATTGAAAAAACAAATACGAAGGAGGGCGGCTCTGTAGGCAATCAAGTAAAGGGTTCACAACACCGTGGAAATCACTTCGCTTAAGAGATTCAGATATCCGTAGTTTCGGTCGCGAAAGGCGAGGACCATTTGTGGAATAGCGTGCCGCAACAGAGATGTTTGTGTAGGGGAATTCAAATTCGCCTTCGTAGAGTGGGTGGTATACGCGGAGAGACTGAAAAATGCGTGTACTGTTGATGGGGACCACCGAGATGCGAAAGTAATGCCTCGTAAATTTGCTGTCGAGGAACGCGGGCGGGTACTGACGAAATTTCGTTGCCTCTGTGAAGGCTTGCAGTCAGCACCCGTATTTTTGCAGCGAAAGCTACGCCGGCCGAGGTTGAGCTTAAAGTTAAGCTTGGTTCACGCTTAGCAGCGCTGCGCATGTCTGAGGAACAGTGATGTCCCGCGGCGCGCAGCTGGCGCGTCGGAAATGGCCTGGAAACTCCTGGAGTTGTAGGCCCGTGTGCTCAGATTCGGGTGCACGTTAAAGAACTCCAGGTGGTCGAAATTTCCAGAGTCCTTCACTATGGCGTCTCTCATAATCATATGGTGGTTTTGGGACGTTAAACCCCACATATCAATCAATCAATCAATCGAAACTCCTGGAGTGACGTGTCACTAGTGAATGGGCACTTGACTGCGTGAGCTGGCTCGCTTGTCCACCTGTCATTCCGTACAGGAAGTAAGCACAAACTAATCCGAGACAACCAGGGAAGCTAAGAATAACCTTAGCTCATGCTACGTATATTCTAGCATATCCTGCAGCTAAGCAAGCCACTGCGAAATATTTCGAACTTGATACAGTGTGAAAGAATTAACCCCCAAGGGTGTGCTAGTATAGTGTATACTGATGATAGCTACACTAAAAGATCATTAAATATATGCCCACTGAATTCATGTGGGCTGGAAAATCGATGCTTTGCGGGCAAAAATCACCAATTTTCGGAAAAATTGGTGATTTTTGCCCGCAAAGCACCGATATTTCCGTTTGGACTATATTCACTTTGTTTTCTCTCATACAGACTGAGTATATATTATATCAAACCTCGTATGCTTGCAGCAGCTACGTCACTCATTTCACTTTACTGTTCATTCATTCATTCGTCGACTGACGGCCACACGTCCAAATATTTACAAATCAACGCACATCATCCACACGTGCCCATAGATAACATCGTCTCCGAACTTTTTCGGTATGCTTACAGTATACTGATGGACGGATCTCAGAAATGGCCCATCTTTTCCGGCTATATGCCGACTTCACATGCTCGCCAAACCACTTTCAAGAAAGCGTAGAAAACTACGTTTTGTTTTTAAAAAAATTGTGTTTTAAGGCGTGCATTTATCGCACTATAGCGTTTAGGTATACTGTTGCTTTGTAGCGTAATTTTGTGAGAAACATAACCGGGCACCGTCACGCTGTTAGTTACATAGTTACAGTTAGGGTACTTATAGGCCGATTTGTGATCTGAATTCTGCCTTGTACGTCAGCATTTTTTGTACGATAACAGCGACAGTAATGCATGCTCTATATAGCCTGGAACGTTTTGCTTATAGTAAAAACAACTTAGGTTTGGGTTACCTGAAACAACAACAAAAAAAAAACGCTTTTCTATTGCGTTTCGGCTGGATCCCGCTCACACGCACAAACACGGGGAGGCTCCAGTCACTTCCGACTGGCGGCGGTCTGCGTGGAGCCGCACTCGACTTGTGCCGAACCGTCCGCGCGGAAGACGCGGTCTCCACGCTCAATTTGCGACCCCGGCACGGCGCTGCCTTATCGCGGGGCTGGTTTTCGCACTGGCTGGTCGCAAACTCAGAGCCGAATGTGCGTCGTGCTCCGTCCACATTACATCGTCATATTTCGACGTGGTAGCCATGGGCGCTTTCCTTTCGCAACACTTTATAGCATGGGGCCTTTTTTCTTTGATATGCGTGGTAATGGATAGATTATGCACCACTGGTGCTGCATCGCAGAATTAGTGAGCGAAATTGGGCGTTGGGGCTTTTCTTTCATTTTATTGCTCTTCTCGTGCGAGCACGGCCGTAAGAAAATATCCTAAAAGCTGCACAATTGACTGTTTATATTTGATAGCCATCAAATCTTCATGATATAATACTCCTGGCATGGTTATTATGCTAAAATTGTAACTTGTTTTGTTACAATTTGTACTGATGCTTCGCAATTAGCGAGTGTGCCTTATTTGTTGTAAGAGTATGATCTTTCATTTAGTTACAAATTTCCTCTTTGCTTCGCGTTTTAAATGAGGGCCTAGTTCAAGAACACACACCATGTGCTCGCGTGCTTGGTGTCTTCTGACGGGACTGTAATTGTTAGAAGAAAGTATGAAGTAACAAGACGATTTTGTAGGTTATGCTGTGAAGTCCCAAGAAGGCCCCGAGCTCCTGAAATGCGCCGTGGCGGAGCTAATGGTCCACGTAAGACTCCCAGAACTAACTTTGCACGCATGACGGAAAGCACTTTGAACTGTTGAAGACGTCGGCCGTGTTCGCCTAATGCAGCAGCAGTGCGCGCGTCTAATTCACACTATGGCAAGTTTGACTGTCACCTGCAGGGAACCCTGTGCTCGTCCTCTCTCATCGCCCTTTCGTTTGTTATTTTCGACATTTACCTATGCTTCAAATGGTTGTAACCATAGAGTTTCTTAATGTACACTAGAGGGAACTTTGGCGCTAGTGTCTATGGAAGCTGAAACACACGGCGCTCCAGCGAGCATGGGAATGATGGGTAGTACACACATTTGTCTAATTTTCGTGCTTCTGCCCTGCTTCTGGCTCCGTGTGTGTTCGTGTAGCTTAGAGCTGTTTTTTTTTTTCGCGAAAACATAAATCAGCAAATGTTCACCGTTTGCGCTTCACAACCTTATTCTTTTAGGCTTACCATTTCGAGTCGTGTCACTAAGTTCAAAAAGGGTTCGTTCTTTATTTCAAAACAAATCGTAACCACCAATAAACGAAGCCGCAAGTACGATTCGCCGCCAGCAAGTACGAAGACTGCAAATGTGTGTATTACCCATCATTACCACAGTCACTGAACGATCGCAGCGCCAGAGTGCCCTCTAGTTAATTTTGTGAAACTTTGTGGTTGTGACCAACAAAAAAGTTTAGCTCATTGGCTCTCCTTAATGGTCTCGCTGTCTAATGCACCAAGGCGATAGCTTTCTCTGTGCTGTAGTAATTCAATCCGATTCCACTCTCTTTCTGGCTTGCGATATAATACTCACCTCTTCGAATGGACGCAGGTGCGATTCCCTACAAGGTGTACACGGCGGCGGCTGCTGCGGCTGCGGCGGCGCACGAGGGCGTTCTGACGGAGAAGCGCAAACAGCGTCGCATCCGCACCACGTTCACGTCGGCGCAGCTCAAGGAGCTCGAGAGGGCCTTCCAGGAGACGCACTACCCGGACATCTACACGCGCGAGGAGATCGCCATGAAGACCGACCTCACCGAGGCCAGAGTACAGGTATACGCTCATTCGCTCGCTACTCTCTGTATATATACTCACCAATACGTGCCTAATACCTGCTACTATATACGAGGCACATATACTCGCTCCCTCTTTTGCATGCGCCTTGCGTACGCTATTAACTGCCGATTCCATGTCTCGCTGCTTACGTGCAAAAAAAAAAAATGATCCTTTAACTCATTCCCGAGGTTTTCATAAGACCTGCAGACGTATCTGACATATTTGAATGCGTATGGACAGTAGACTGTGGGAGGTCCACAGTCAGTGGACGTAGCCAGGCTGATGATGATGATGATGATGATGATGATGATGATGATGATTATGGACAGTGGACTCGCCATAGGGCAGTCGTTGTGGCGGCTTTAGTTTGCGCTTTACAGTCCCTAGACATATAATTACTCACGTCTAACGAATATATATAGAGTCTACTTGTATCGGTGCAAGAAGTGGACATTAATACTGTTTTGAAATCAACCGGTTTTAAGCAATCGCTTCTATACGTCTGTATATCCCGACTGGTGCACATGTACCTTGACAGTACCTTCTTCTCTTTGCTTTACTTATTTTAATTCCTTCGTCTACTTCCCCACTGCAGGGTAGAAAACCGGATGCCCGTCCGGTTGACCTGCATGGCTTTACTTTCTTTCTCCTCCCCACTTATATCTATACATTGTACACCAAAACAAGCTATTTCCGCGTGTATAAGCGCAGAAGAAGGTCGTGAAACGGTACGTCAACTTCACCAACGACAATGAAGAATGCGATCGATGAAAAACCTCCATTTAGCACCATAGTTGAATGGAGCAATAGAACTCGACAATGGAAGAGCTTGTGTGATACAGTGAGTGTCCTACTCCTGACTGAGAAACCGATAATAGCCCATATGGCCACACATTTTCCGGTTAGCTCGACTCTCTTCGAACGACGCGGTCGAGCCCCGCCGCGGTTGGCCATTTAAGCGGGCACGTCGATTCATTGACGAGAGTCATTCAAGCGTGGCTAGATGATCTCGCGGAAAAAGGCTTCGCGTCTCGCTGCGCAGCAAAGCCCCGCGAATGCTCATCTCCGGTGGCTGCCTCTGCGCTTGACTGACTCCAGCTGCGACGCCAGGTGCCTGACCACAAGTGGCCCGGATTAGAGTTCGGCGTCTGATTCTGCGGTTAATAGACAGTTAGATTAGCTGATTCGTATGCGTACAGCATTGGGAGGATCGATCTCCTGCGAGAAACAGCCTTTGCGCTACAGTGTGGGCGAGTATTAGAATAAATTTGAACACACTGTGATGTGCAAATACTTAAAAAAAGGCGCGAATATTGGAGAACATGTTAAAGGGCCGCTAACCATGCTAAAAAAATACAAAGAACGAGTGTGTCAGTACCTTTATGCGTTTCTGGTTTTTTTTTTTTGGCACCCCTTTTCACGCTAACTGTCTGTTCACGTGCTATAGTACGAGGAAATACGCCCTCTATTGAAGAGCTAACGTCCCTTGCACGCCCTTTCTGCCTCGTCTCGCATCACCATCGGTGGGGTCATCCTAGTTAAGGTCCTTTTCTGCGTTTTCGATTGTGCTAGCGGAGATAACATGGTGCAGCCGAGAGAAAGAGAGAAAGGAGAAAGATGGGAAGGCTAGGATGTAAGTGAAAAGCGAGAAATAGGCTCCTCGCTCAGTGCTGACGTAGTCCTCGTGTTTTATAAGAATAAATAAATGGCAACACGTTCATAGTGCGTGTAAGAAGGAGGGTGAAGGCGAGCAAGACACCACATACTTCTAATTGGATTTGTAGCTGTTTAGGTGCCATTTAATGAAGGGAGGCAGGATGCGTTGTCAACAGTTATCATCTTATCTCTTATTCAACGTACTTTATTTTAAAGGAAATAAAAAAAACCCGCCCAGTTCACACAATCTCAGTAATATCATGTGCTCGTCGACAGCCTATACGAAGCAGTGAAATCACTCTGGGGCTTTTTGAGGACGATGGGCTTATGTGAACGCCTCTGACTTGCGCTGGACACATGGGTGCACGGACACGCTGCAGTAATTAACTGCCCATCTGTCTCTTTCCTTCTCTTCCCTCCTCTATCTTTCTATTCCCATTCCCTGTGTGGGATAGCCAACCGTAATGTTTTTTTCTTGCTTCCTTTTTCTCTACTCCTGTAAATCTGGCTTCCATAAAGGTTGTGCACAAGAAATCAAAATGTCTCACTGATAATCTATTTCATCTTGGTTGGTGCCTGTTTCTATTTCCGCCATAATTTGTCACGACCAGGCCACACATTATCAGTTTCTCAACTTCACCGAGAATGTTTCGCTAATGCAGTTTCAAATGAATTGGTTTAGGTTATCGAAGTTCAGGAATTGATGAAACATAATCCCCAGGGCACATACTTGAGGTAAATTAGCAAAATTTGACTCACTACATATCCAATTATTTATTCATTACGTGTTCTGCTTGTGTAACTGAGTGAACGCAGTGCTGACGTTGTACTTGTTTATCCGACATTCTGGTCTGATAAATTACTTCGACAGATATGCAACTTCGGAGAAACGTGCTAGTGCTGGTAGGCAAGCTCAACGGCACTGTACAAGGTTAAATACAAAAGTTGTCAAGCAGCCTATTTCTGTCAATATATTTCGTGCAAAAAGCTCTGGTCGAGATGGTTTCAAAGGACGTCTTGACATTAGTCAAAAAATATATAAGGTAGTATGGAGTACGTGCACAATGCAAATGAGCGTCTATTATAGTAAGTGAGGATTAAATGCACTAGGCTCACAAACAATTCGTGTGCATAATAAAAACAATCAAAATAAAGAAAAACAGTATCGCAATATCGTTCTTTGTATTATCCCTTTAGGTACACTTTTTTTTTTCGGGCACGTTTAAGGCGTGCTTGAAGTTCTAAAGTGTGTCACTTTTAGCAAACTGCGATTCGAAAGACAAATGATACCGCGAGGCTTCGTTTTGTCACCTATTACTATCTTTCATGGTTCTAAGAGACAGTGAACAAACCATATCTAAGTGGTACGAAAATGTCAGGAGTGACACCACAAAAACGATGAAGGCTCTGGTTCGAAGGAACCCGATCAAAGGCCACCCGGGCGCGCTAAACGCTCTTCCGATACACGAACGATGCTGAAGAAAAAAAAAAAGAAGGGGGGCAAGGGCAATGGGAGCAGTGAAAGGGACTATAGGAGCAAAAGGGGAGCCGGCGCTCAAAGCACCACTCTTGCGCATCTTTTGTTTGTGCTCGAACCCGTGTCCGATGGTTCCGGTTCTGCGCAACGCGGCTCGAGTGTTAGGCCCCCCCACGGACACATATCAGGCCCCCGACTAGTACGCGGCACGCGCTTGCAGCACACGCACGCACGCACAACGCCACCATCCCACCGGGTTCTCCATTCGCTGCCTGACATGCCCGAAAACTGCATGCTTCCTCGATTTCCCCTGATGATCCGGCCGAGATAAACGAGCTTATAATAAAATAACAAGCGCTACTCCACCTCTCTCCTTCTTTCTCTCTTTGGCTAACTTGCTCGCGTGCCCACGCTCTGTGTAGTTACCGCGATGCCAGGATGAGGGGTGGTGGTGGAGGGTGCTTGCGCGGCCACTGACACGTGACCAGTCCAGAAAGGGTGTCGCGCGCAAAAGAGAAGACAGAAGGCAGAGCAAGCTGACGGCAGCGCTGCGCGTGGGTCGCTTTTTGCCGGACAGAACTGCAAACGCTGGCAGGAGGAGCAGGTTCAATCTAAGAGAGTGCTCAGTTTTCTATCGGCACGACAAGAGGACGCGCTGTTCGGAGCTAGACCTAAAAGCGCATGCGTACCCGGAAAGCCCGCGTGGAGCACTCCGGAGGAGGAGGAGGGGAGGCCGTTCTGTCAAGGGTGAAGGAGGAAGAGGGTTGCGACATGCTCGGCTGTAGTGTAAACAGGGTCCTTTATTAAAGCGTCATCCCCGCGCCACTTCAAGTGGAAGGAAAGGAGCACGACGTCCATCAAGCGGTCAGCCGCCGCTAGAGCGGCAGACACGATGTCACACTGAAGCCATCTGGCGGGCACAAGTTCGTCTCGCTCTTCGTAGAGTAGTCGCAAGCGAACATGTTTTAGCGATGTTGTAGCGAGTAATTTGTCTCGTGGGTATCTTTCCATTGTGTGTGTCGAGATATCTGTCACTTCTCTCGCTTTCGCCCGTCATTAAAGCAGGTGGATGTACGAAACTGGTATTACGTACCGTGTGCGACGAAACGCGTCGATAATGTAAAGCCTACTCGAGCGACGAGGAAAGGCAAACAAAAAAAGGATGTTCATTGAACTATAATCAAGAATAATATAGAAACAACTGGCGAGTTTGAGGTGCGGTTCTTGAAGTCGTGGGAGAGGGAACTTTCGAGAACAGTGGCGATCTTCTAAATGCCGTAGTCTATTTCAGATGTTATAGAAACATATGTTAAACTGCGTAGTCATTGCAGCGCTATTCAATCTTACTACATCAATGTTGTAAGAGGCAAGAGTGTAGCAGGAGTCAACGTTTTTAGAAGTGCGCTTGACTCCTAGGTCAAGAACTTGTCATCACCTTTAGCCGTCGTGGACTTTCGAAATTGCGTCCTGTTTATGTTATAAATTCTACGTGTGCCTCGAAGGTGACGATACATAAATAATTTTAGGCTAACTAAAGTTCAGTCCTAATTCGAGCACATACGTGAGCAGCTTGTGACTCCAATCCTTTATTCCAATATAGTTAAAACGAGGAGAAAAGTCTGCGAAGGCTATTCTAACGTCTCAGCTAAACCAATCCCTAACGAGGGATCAATTCTGGACTGCGGCAGGGCAGCGAGACGCCCTCTGTCGAAGCAGCCGCGTCAGTATAGAACGGGACACACCAAGTGACGCCTTATTTAACGCAGGCCACATCTGCGCTCGCCTCACCGCACCCAAATGAGAGGCGACAGTTCGCGGCGCCGGGCCAGAAAGGGAACGCAGTACGGTCGGGCCCCTCGGAAGA